AAATGTCACTATCAAAATTGATCTACACGTGAGACAACTGAAGCTCAGAGAGGTCACCTGTCTAAGTGTATGGGCATTTAGTACACAATCTGAATTCTGGTCCTTTGACTCCAAAGTCTGACTCCTTTTAAAATAATAGTCGGTATAATAATTGTAAAAAGGTTATGAATTTGGGAATAAAAACAACTAAAATGTGCAATGTCATTTGCTATTTGGGATATTATTTTTAAATTATCGTAATATTTACTTCACTTTTACATTGTGTGTTACTTCACCATTTAGTTATTCGGCAGCACAGTTTCATTAATTTCGCACAGTCTCTGAAGGTGTATACTTGAGAACTCTCTGTTTACATGGAAAGATCTGTAGAAGAAATAGGTGTAGCTTTCTTCTTTTTGTAATGAGGTAAATACTCTTTTGCAAAAAGTACTGCTTGGAAAAGAAAGATAGCTAGAAATATAAAAGAAAGCAATGAAATAGAAGAAAGTCATAATGCATGTTATATTTATTTTCTGGCACATAAGGCTCAATGAAAGATCAAGTTTTTATACTGTTGTTTGTCTTTAATGACTCTTGTCCAAGTGGTCAATTTAGAACAGTCATCTTTAACCTCTGAGTTTTATCTAAGTAGTACTAAGCCTCTAAAATATTGGTAATAGGCATTAATCTGATATAAACTGTGTTTCCTCTTGATAAATGGAAGAGTACGAGGTATAGTTCTAATCTATTTACGTATGGTATTGCATTAAATTTTCAAATGATTTTATTATTATGTCCATTTTACAGTTGAGGAAACCGAAGTATTGAGAATTTTAGAAATCGATGTGTAGATGCCAGACCCAAGATGCAACCCCAGACAATCTGAATCCTGAATAAATATTTTAATTGCTTCCCTATGTTAATACTTAATATTTCTAAGCTTCAGCTTTTGTGTCTGTCTGAAAAGGTGAATATTGGTAACACTCACTTCATAGTATATAAGGATTCAATGAGATGATTCCTGTAGAACAGTGCCTGCCACATAATAAATACTCGTTAAATGCTGACATGGGTTAGAATATGGCTCCATGAGTCACTTTGTTACGCAACTCTGGACAATTTCCTTTACTTCTGTGAGGTCAACTCCTCATCTGTAAAATTGCTACTATATGGTAATAAGGTCCCCATTAAACTGGACCACTAACATCAGGTACAAAATTAACATCTATATCCTTTAAGCCAATGTATTTTTGAATTCCATCATAGTGGCTTAACCTTTATCCTCATATCTATGCATATACATATACATAGTCACACATCAAATAGAGTGAATGTCTGATGGTCAAAGATTAATATCCTGAATTAGGGAGCACTTTTACAGATTGCTGAGAAAGAAAATCATGTAACCTAACTGACAAGATAGCAAAGGACATGAAGAGGGAATTGACTAAAAAGGAAATGCAAATGAACATGATGGGGTTCAGAGGAGGTCATTCCAGAACGTGCCACTTTGGCATGTGATTATTTCAAGCTGAACATGATTAAGGCCTGACAGACTCAAGAAGAGCTTTTTATCTCTCCCTGAACTGTCTAAAAGAATTTAGATAAGGAGCCTGTACCAGGAAGAGAGCTATTACCAAACATACAGTTTTTTTACATAAGAAAGACTTTGTATGGCATGACAAACATTTGTGTAATAAATATTTGCTCTTCCCATTTTCCTGTGAATAGTCTTCCTCTCCTTTGAAATCTCAACCCCTACCCCACTTCTCCTCAGCTCAGGATGACATATAAGCCGCAATTGCCTGACTGTCCAGGAGCCTCTCATGTCTTTGTGGGGCTCCCATACATATGTAATTAAATTTGTTTTTCTCCTGTTACTCTGTCTTATGTCAATTTAATTATTAGGTCAGCCAAAGAACCAAGAAGAGAAGGGAAATGTTTTCCTCCTCTACATATACAAGTGAAGATAAGTGAATACAAATGAATCAAACTGAATAAAGATTAATTTAACATCCAGCTGCATAACAGTGAAATGAAATTAAACATGGGGATACACGTTCTATCTTACCAAACTAGCAGGAAAAATTTGTTTTATAGAATATGCAATATTTGAGAGTGTGTGAGTGAGCAAACACCGCTAAGGGAAGTATAAAATATTAAAACCTGTTGAAGAAATATTTGACAATGTGTATTAAAATATTAACAAACGTACATGCATTTTAGTCATGCAATTATGTTTTTTATAAGTCTATTCTAAGATAATTATAAATATGCCCAGTATTATACAAGGTATATATAACTGCATCATTTTATAGATTTAAGAAGTAACTTATATTTTCAGCCACAAAGAAGAACTTTAATAAATTAAGGAATGGTATTAACATGAATAAAATATTTGAAGAATATTAAACAACATGGAAATGTGTTCTTGATACACAAATGAATAACGTTATAACTGAATAAAAACTTATAATGTACATGCCCTAGAACCCTAACTTTGCTAAAGAAAGCATGTACACCTGCCCCAAGATGACAGAAAGAGTGGTTATCACTAGGTGACCAGATAAGAAATCGTTTTATTTCATCTGCTTTTCTAAATTATCCAGTGTTTCCATTATATTCTGAATTATTTTCAATATCTAAAAATAAAATATAACAATCATAAATTAATTAGAATGCAAATTATTACTGGAAAATATTTGCAACTACTTAATTAATTGGTTCAATAAATATTTATTGTGCATCCATTATGTGCCAAACACTTGCTCAGGCAATGGAGGTACAGTGATACACAAGACAACATTCCTGCCCTTATAGTGTTTACCTTCTGGTAGGGCATATGGATAGTAAACAAGTAAATAAATGAGTTCTGAACATAATTACAGATAATGAGAATTGCTATGAAGGAATAAACAAAGCTCAGGGGAGTTTTAGTTTGAGTCCTAAAGGATGAGAGAGCCAGCCTGTGGAGGCCAATGGGAAGAACATTTCTGGCAGGAAGAAAACAGGGGCAAACCCAGAAGCAGCAAAGAACTTGGCAAAGATAGAGTAACATACAGGCAGGCAGTGTAAATGATGAGAGTTGGGTTTGAGATGAGGTTAACAGGTGGACAGGGGCAGAAAAGTAAAGGTGTATAAGTCTTGGTAAGGAGTTTGTTTTATTTTCCTAATTTGAAAAGAAATGATTAATGGCTTTTAAGCAGAGAAGTGACATTATTTTTATGTTTTTTAAAAAGATCATTCTGCCTGTTATTGATGGCTGATACAAAAAATGCATAGCAATAAATAAAAGACAAAAACAACAAAAATATGATGGGAAAATGGACTAAGAATGAGAAGAGGAATAAATACAAATTAGTAAGAGACAGAACAATGTTCAGCTACACTAGTAATCAAAACAACAAATTTAAATGATTTTCCACAATTAAGTAGCAAAGTTGAAGAAAGAAATTTAATGTGTTAATGATACTGTGAGGTAGGCAACAACAAAATAATCATTCTTAAATAATCATTCTTGGCAAAGACATACATACAAGATGCTGATCTAACTTTTGTTTAGAATAAGTGTTTTCACTGGTTTTTTTTTTTTTTCCTTAAAGAGGAATTACATGTAATTTTTGTACTATTCTGTACTTCATGAAAACTCTAAAAGTATCAGGTATTGTTTTTATAATACCTGTTTTTATATTTTATAATGTAATTTTTATTAGTTTTATAATCAGAAAAATGGTTATTGAGGAAGTCCCAAATAAGTTCTTCATAACACATAGACCATATGCTGTAGAGGAAATAATGAAATTTGAAAAAGGTTTTGGAAATATGTAACACATACATATTCAAATATCATATAGCATAAACCAGTTGAAAACTGAACAATTATTTTCTCAAAGGCCTATAAAGTTGAAAAGCTTTTAGCCTGAACCATGTTAATGATTGGAAAAACATGATAGGTCCAGGCCCAGAGATTTATTTTTATTTGCCAAACTATTTGTTATTTTATAATTCCCAATTTTCTAAGGACTATCTCATCCTAGAATAAAAGCTAGCATTTACAACTATTGTAAACTATTGTCACTACATAACCTAGCAGAATCCAGGGGTTCACCATTCTCTTTTTAATAATAGTATTAACTTGCTATCCAGTAGGACTTCTGTGCCTTACATTTTGTGCCCAGTAGGAGATCTGGAATAATCAGTCTTGCTCTGTTCAAACTTTATGGTAGTCTTATGATGATTGTTGAACATCTCTGATTAAACCCTTTAGAAGAGAGCTACCATCCTTCTGCCACCTGCTGCATTATTAAAAGATTTGTTTCTTTATGTCAGAGATTCTATTAGAAAGGAGGTCAAGTTGGGATCCTGAATCACCTCTGCAAGAAACATGGGTTCAGCTAGGGCTTAAATTCATTTGTGAAAATATTTAAAAGCCAACAATAACTCCTATGGAACAATGTTATGACTTTACCAACTTTGTACTCTTTGAAAGGAAAAAAAATCAACTTTTAATTACAAAGAAATACAGTGTCCCTTTATTTGCTATTGTAGTTCTTATTTCTAAGAAAGCTAGGTACATTTTAAAAGCACAAACAGATAAATAGTTCTGTAGTCTAAAATTTCCAATTCAAAAGCAAAGGGAGAATTCATAAAATGTGCTCTCATGCAAAGAACTGCCCATTTATCACCATTTGAAGAAAATGTATATGTGTGTATGTGTGTTGCATACATATATATACACATAAACCACATGCTTGATTCATACACAAATAGCTAAGTTGGAAAAGATCAGGCTTTGAAAACTGGTCCTAGAAAATTGATTCATTCAGGCAAATTTGTATATGGGTCCCTGTATATATTTTAAATACAGTAAGATTGATTACAAACAGAAGGTCATTTTGTTTACTATTTTCCAGAGAGAGCTTCTAACATTCTTAAGAAGAACTGAAGTACAAAGCCATAAAAAGCAACAGTATTTCACCATATAACACACAGTAGAGTTAAAATCATCACACCAGCTCCTTTTACATCTCATTGCTATCGGTAAGTTCTAATTCTTGATCATTAATTCCTATATGGGTTTTTCAGCACTTTTCCTACAAAGCACAATATCCTCATGTGTGTTTTTTTTTAAATAAATTTATTTATTTTATTTATTTATTTTTGGCTGCGTTGAGTCTTCGTTGCTGTGCACAGGCTTTTCTCTAGTTGTGTTGAGCGGAGTCTAATCTTCGTCGCTGTGTGCGGGCTTCTCGTTGCGATAGCTTCTCTTTCTGCGGAGCACGGGCTCTAGGTGCGCAGGCTTCCGTAGTTGTGGCTCGTGGGCTCTAGAGCAAGGGCTCAGTAGCTGTGGCTCATGGGTTTAGTTGCTCCGCGGCATGTGGGATCTTCCTGGACCAGGACTCGAACCCGTGTCCCCTGCCTTGGCAGGCGGATTCTTAACCACTGTGCCACCAGGGAAGCCCTCATGTGGGTTTTTAATTGTAGATTCCTGAGCTGACAGATGAGATATGTTGATGACCACATTGTTTTTAGCTCTTAGGGTGTAGGCTTCCTTGGGCTCTTCTCTTTTTCGGCAGAGATGGAGGCGAAAAGCATCTTGGAAACCACAGTGAAAATTCTCATTGAAGAAACCATAAATGATGGGGTTGACGCTGCTGTTGCCAAAGGCCAGCGAGTGTGCAAAAGGGTAGATGTAGATGTTGATGACCCGCAGTTCATTCAGAGACAGGTCAACATAGTGTGAGAGCATCATCAGAGTCCACAGGGGCAGCCAGGAGAGAATGAAAAGCAGGGCCACAGTCAGGAGCATCTTAATGACCTTCTGCTTCTTCTTGGACACCACGTGCCACTGTTCCTGGTTCTGTTTGCCTGAGCGGAGCACTGTTGTCTTGGAAAGTGCAATTCCAATCCTTCCATACATGATGACAATGAGGGACAGGGGAGCCAGGTAGATGTTAGCAAACAGCACAGTGGTATAGATCTTCCTCATTTCCGATTTGGCCAGTCTTCCCGGCACCAGTAGACTGGGCTGGTTTTATTCTGGGAGTTGAGTCTCACTCGGTAATATTTTTCTTCCTGTACATGTAACATTATTGCAGATGGGGACATAATGGCGATGGCCAGGACCCAGATGATCATAATGATGACAAACGCTGTCTTGATAGTGAGCTTTGGTTTAAAAGGGTAGACGACACACCGGAACCTGTAATTAAAGGCAAATATCAGTGAAGGACAGCCTCATAACTTCTGACCAAGTCATCAATTAAATTTATTTCAGTAATTACAGTCTTCCATACATATTCCCCCTCAAATATAGAAAGTTACCATTAGTAGGGAGGCGTGCATTACCAGTTTCTGTAATTAATATATGAGATAAAATTCAACTCAAAAAATTAATGAGTGGAGTATATCAGACACTATTAATAATCAAAGTACTATTGTAACTAGTCAACATTGAACATGAGCATTTAATATTCTGTTCCAGGCTCCTTTCCGTTGGTTTGCATGGATTGCCTCTGTAAGCTTTCTTATTTAAAAGATGGGGAAAAGGCTTAGAAAAGGTAAAAAATCTTGCCCATAATTACACATGATTTTTACACATGTATTTTGGCTCCAGAGCCCATATTCTTAAATGTCCCTTCATGCCTTTCTGTGGTCCCCTCACACATAATCTGTGTGCTCGGCCATGCAACTTGCTTTGGCCAGTTAGTTGAACATTAGCAAGCATGGCATAAGCAAAAGCATGAGTGATTTCAGCTACAAGGCACAGAGTAGGAGAACCACACAGAGGCACCCAGCCAGTCCACAGAGTTGTGACAAATATTAAAAGCATTACTGTTTTAAGCCACTAAGTGTTTTGGTGGTTTGTTTCACACCTATGAGTCTGAGTTCCCATGATGAGTTCTGTTTATGCACCTTCCCAGTGTTCTGTGTCCTCTGTTGAGCATGACAATTATCAGTATGTAGAGTAAGCCTGATTCATTTTACTGCTATTTTGTTATTGTGATTCTTAATTTTGTTATTACTGATATTCATTATGTTCATTATAAGATAATCATACTATTACATAACTGTATAACATTTTATATTTTTCAAAGTACTATCAGCTATTGAATCTTCTTTGATTTTTGTGATGACTCTATAAAATTGAAAATTAATACTTTCCAGATCTGCAGGTAAGGAAACTTAGAGCTTTTAAGTGGCCCATCAGCAACTCCAAACAAATTTATCTTATCTTTATATAATGACTAGTTATCTTGAGCTTTGACTGCTCCACTGTCCTCCACTGAAGGTGTAAGCTCTTCTGTCTTAAATTCCAAGTTTTCATCTAGTCTTCTAATCAGTGAATTCTCCCATTTACTCACCCTTAAATTATGGGTAACTTCAAAGGTGCAATTCTAGGTATTTTGCTCTTTCTGTAAACCAGCTATTGAATCTTCAAATATTATTTTTTCATTTATTCATTCAACAAATAGTCTATGATATCTTGTTAATAGCAGCCCAAACTAAGACATGCATCATCCCTAATTATTTAATCTTAAAATATGGAAACTTCAGTATTTTTATTTTATTACTGAACCCTTAGTGTGTGTGTATACAATATATACATATATATATATACATATATATATAAGCCTTGCTCTTAAAGGGGTACATATTACGGCTACAGTTTTAAGCAGATATACCCAAATTTAGTAGATTATACATTTTTCACTGGTTAGATGGATTAGTTGCAGATATGCCCAATTTTCTGGATTCAGAGTTTGGTGCTGACCTACCTATCTACTGCTATTGCAACTGAAGTAAAGACTGAAGCTGCAACGGATATTCCCTGGACCAAGCCACTGATCTTGCACATTGTACTTCCAAAAGGCCATCCTGAAAGGGAAGTGGGACAGTTAGTCTTTGGAAAGATCATATATATATTTTTTAATTTCACTGGAATTATGAAGAGAAAGACATGAAATTAGACAGATGCAACTGTTTCCTAAATGATATCCAGGGAACAATTAATGTTTCCCATTATTTTCATTAATACATTCAGATCTCTGTTTTTCAGTATACTAATAAGGTCAAAACTTACACAGTAGTTTCAACATTCTATACACTGTAATAAATGTTTTGCATCTATTAACATATCTAATCCCCACAACAGGCTTTTGAAGGCTTTATTATTCTCCTAATGATATAGAATACGTAACAAACACACAAATATCACATACCTTGCCACACAGCTAGTTAGAAGCATATTAAGGATTTAAACTCTAGCAGTATGGTTCCAGAGTCCAAACCATTAACCCTCATGCAATAATGCCCTTTAAATGAATAAAACAGGAAGAATATTGTTTCTCTAATTTGGAAATGTATTCCATAAATTATGAGGAATCAGGAGTCACACGTATAACAAATAAAGTTAATATTTAATTATATATAATCTAGTGACATAATTTACCTCAGAGGTACTTTGTTATGGAGTGAATGTGTTCCCTCCCAAATTCATATATTGAAGCTTTAACCCCCAATGTGATGGTATTTGAAGGTGGGGCCTTTGGGAAGTAATTAGATGTAGATGAGGCCATGGGGATTGTGCCACATGATGGGATTAGTGCCCTTATAAGAAGAAGAAGAGAGCGTGAGACCTCTCCCCACGTGCATGCACTGAGTAAAGGCCATGTGAACACACAGAAATCTACCAATCAGAAAAGGGAACCTCACCAAGAATCCGACCATGCTGGCACCCTCATCTCAGACTCCTAGCCTCCAGAACTGTGAAATTAAATGTCTGTTGCTTTAGCCACCCAGTCTATGGTATTTTGTTATAACAGCCTAAACTGACTAAGACATACTTGGAGAATAAAGAGCACTTTGCACAAACAAAAGTAGTCTGTTTGAATAACTTCCTAACTGAACTCCAGTTACTAGAATGTTTATAAAAGAAATTGGTAAAATTATTATATTTGATATTTAATATCAATGAAATCAGAGTCAGAGTTTGATATTCTATACACACCTCTGCTATTACAGGAAAGTAACACTATTCTTCAATTAGCAAATATTCTAGTTTCCCAAGAGATGAATGTTACATATTGCTCAGATTTTTAAAATTTATCTTTTAAAAAATATCCTATAGCTTATTTAAAAAATACTCTTATCTAATTAAAGATATTCCCAGTAACCTAAATAAGCCAAGCATACTTAAAAAATCATTCTGTCGTCTATCCAGACCATCTTAAAATTGGTGCTTGAATGGCTTTATGTCACAATGATGCAGGAGGATAGAGTGAAAGTACATATACACTCTGCACGTGCTCCTACTGCTGGTAGAGAGACCCACTCAGCTCTAGAATGCAGCTGCCAGACTTCTAGTCCCTATGGCAGTAGATTAGAGAATTTCCTTCTGGGGCAAGTGATCCTTCCAAGAACACTGACATATTTTCACTGGCAGATTCTGATAGCTGTGGATTTCCCAATGAATGACCCAGACTAGTGAAGCCGAGAGTGAGCCTAACCTCAAACCCCAGTCCTGCAGAGGTTCAAAGCAGCCACATAGTACCTCACTCTGAAATACAAGCAGTTAAATAGTAGTTGACTGTTAGGGAAACCTCAACCATAAAAGAAAGAAACTAAAACAAATAGGAAGAATGAAACAGGAGAAAACTAATCTGAATTAGGTAGACAAAAAATTAAAAAACAAAGAAAATTACTACTCATAACCTCAGAGATAAAATACATTTTGTCCATGAAAAATATGTGCATGATAGTACAAGGAACACAAAGAATATAAAAATAGCTCAAGAATTTAAAATATGATAACAGAAATGGCTGTTGACTTTATGTGCTAATACAACAGATATTTATTAAGCAGGTACTATGCACCAAAACTGTACTGGGAGGTATAGATACACTGTTCCTGTACTTCCAGAGTGTATGACGTAGTGCTAAAGAAGTGGTAATACGGGCCCAGAAGTACTCTAGGGTAATACCCGAACCATGACTTATGTTGCACATGTAAATTACCACTATATGAATGAAACTACTGCTTTGTGAGAAATTATTGGTTCTGTTACTCCATCTTCCATCAAAAACTGTTGGAAATCTCTCAGCCAACCACAAGAGGGCTTAAATATCTATTTATATTAGATTGAAGACATTGCATCAGTTGAAACCACACGTTCTTTGAACTTTACAGCCCATAATATTCTTAACATTTTTACTATATTATATGTGCCCTGAACTGTTAAGCAAATTCAAAGTCTTCAGTAAGAAGTGTCACCATTCACTGATGACCTTCAGTGAACACTCTATAAAAATAACAGCTTCCACACTGCATCTCTGTCACTTGTTCTATTTTTCTCCATAATTCTTTTTATTCTCTGACTACTTATATAGCTATTTGTTTGTTGTTTTTATCCTCCTTTAGCATGTAGACCCCATGAGAACAGCTACTTGGAGCAGTTCTTAGAACTCAATAAATATTTGTGAATGAATGGATGACGCTGCGATGGCTTCAGGGATATGGGACAAATATTTTCTCATAGTATGTTTGAGGTGCATGCAAATCAACATACCTGCTATAATATTGTCCAGCAGCGTGATAGGCATACAGAATATGCCAACTAGTAAATCACTTATGGCCAGGTTCAAGATGAAGAGATTAGTGACGCTGTGCATATGTTTGTTCCTCATTACAATAAAGCAAACCACTGTATTTCCCACCATGCATAGGAAGAAGGTCAGAAAGTAGGAAATAATGAAAATCGCTGCCACTTGAGGCTGGTAAAGATAGTAGTTCACATAGGTGATATTGCTATCTGCATACAGATCATGCTTTGTGTCACTGACACTCCAAATGTGATGCCAGTTTTCCGAAGAGTTTGAGTCCCAGTTTTCACTCATGATGGACCTGAACAAAGAAGAGGCAGAAAAGAAAAACATGATTAGAAATCAGGAGAACTTAAGTTTAAGAGAGATTAAGAGAGATGCTTTTAAAATGCTATGGAATTTTTTTTTGTTGGAGTATACTTGCTTTACAATGTTGTGTTAGTTTCTGCTGTACAATGAAGTGTATCAGCGATATGTATATATATTGATGGGCCTTCTATAATAATCCATAAATTTTGCATAAAAATGAGTTATAAATAAGGCATTCAAATTATTAGGATTTTAATCAAGAGCACTTGAAAATTCCACTTTGTGCCACAAGTAACAATTATTATTATATTGTATTTCCTTGATATACTCTATATTATTCACTTGTTTGCTATACCTTCTATCCACTTGTGAAGTTTCAAGGGAAACACTCCAAAACTCCTCTTCCTCCTGCCTTCAGATAGCATAACCTGTCAAAACCTACTTGTTCTGCTAACTAACATGCTAACTCACATGCCATGTGCTTTCCTGATATTTGAACGAGATGAAGTATCTACATCTTCAGATTTTCCATTGAAATAAGCTTCTTGTATTTTCCTTGTTCTGCTTTGACTCAGTTAATTGGATATTCTTTTTATACACTTCTGTATGTTGACATAGCCACAAAACTGTGAATTTCTTAAAATAGGTCTGGGTTACTTATCTTGGTTTCACATAGCATAATTCAATTCACATAATATGTATTCAATAAATATTTATTTAAAATTTATAAATCTTAAGAAAGACATTTCAATCAATGTGTGTCAGAGGTCCCCAAGAACACTCCCAGGTTTGGTGGTTTATTAGAAGGACTCACAGGACTCAGCATATAGTATATTCACTGCTAATATTTATTATAGCAAAGGGATCCAAAGCAAAATCAGCAAATAAAAAGGCACATGGAGTAAAATCTGCAGGAAACCAGGCACAGGCTTCCAAGAGTCCGCTCTCAGTGGACATGCTTAATTCCTCCAGCAACAAGTTTGAGTTTGACAACATGTGTGAAAAGGTTTTTAATTAGAGAGTGGTCATATAGGCAACTTCTTTTTAGTATATATCAAAATTCCAGACTCCCAGATGGAAAGTGAGCGTGCGGCATGAACTATGTGGTCGTACAAACAAACTAGGCACAGTGAGCCACTCTACCATTTAAGGAAACTTTATATCAGTATAGGGAACTGTTTAGAATTTAAGTTCCCAGACTCTAACCCAGAGCCCAGCTTGCAAGCAGGCCTTTCTAAAGACATCAGTCTCAGGCGTACCTGTCAACTCTTTTTTGCATGCCCTGTAAATTGGACAGAAGGTTGGTTATACGTGTCCTTAAATGAAAATCAATTTGACAGTGGAGTAAACAAGTTTGTTACTAATATAAAATAACTCAAAGAGGATCATTTTTCTCCAACAGTTCGCATTATTTTGCCATTTAATTTCTTCCCTTTCCTCAAATTTTTAAAATTCATCTTTGCTTTTCTGTATTTCATATTCCTAAGGCGAAATAAAAACAAGAAGTGAAAAGCAAAGTGAGCAAGGGATGAGGCGAGGGCTTGGAGAAGAGAAAAAGAAAGGAATTTGAGTAGAACCAGATGTAGGCTGCTATACAAAGTCAAGCTGAGAATGTCTTTGGGGTCTAGAGACACACTGAGAATACCTACCAGTTTGAGAAAAATCATTTCAGTCAAAGTCTCCAAAAGAGTAGCCTTCACACAAACATTTAAAGATATTTGTACCTAAGACAAGGAAGCACTTTAAATACAAATGAGAAAGGTATGAGAAAAATGTAGGTAGCTAAGAGTTACTAATAAAAACCATCTGTCTGTGGATTCAATTAGAGCTGGCAAGCATATGGGTAGAATATATCATAAGACGTAATGCTTTATATTTGCACATTCTTTTTTCTTGTACCTGGCTGAAAGCAACCATGTGTGTCCAAAGCAGGTATGCATCCATGGTATATCTGTTGCGATAAGAGTGTTAGGAGGGTTAAGATGGAATCTTCTGGTGTATTAAATTTAACTCCATGTCAGCCATTTGAAAGAGAAGTGTCTCTTTTCTTCCAATAGATTTTTGAGAAACTAAAGTCGTATTTTGTTTTGGGGGCCAACATGGGTTTCACTATTCCTATTATTGGCTTACTAACTATGTTTGGCAAGACAGCATACAAAATGCAATACAGAGAGTCAAACAAAGAATCTGTCGTATGTACGTGTTATTTCCTCCTGACATGCAATTATAAAACTTTTGTACATGAGGTCATAGTGTTGGCCGTTAGATTGACCTATAATAATGTGACTTTGGGGACAACATCATCACCCATAGTATTACTATAGTGAGGCAGAGAAAAGTCAGGTCCTGACTGATCCTAGGGAAACTCATTTATCTCATTGTAATGCATCAAAGACAACTGCTCTTTGCTGTTCATACATCTGGCATCTTTCTCACTGGGCACTTAAAAGTTCCATACAGTTGATTAAAAAGTTTTAAATAAAATGTACCCCTGGTTGAACACCTTTAAAACCAAAATTATTTAAAGTGTACTCTGTGAATCATATTCATTCCTAGATGAAATAATATAAGGAATAAGAAAATTGAGTATACCAGTTTTAGGAAGGCAAATTTACACTCTACCCATACTGATGATTCAGTAGTTTTGGAATATTTCATTGAAAATGTGTGATGTCCTTTTACTAACAGAAAGTCTGAATTTTACAAGTTAGTATTTACATGTTAAGTAACTAAATTGTAAACATAAGCCATTTTACCATGAATTAGTCTTATATTCTTTATTTCTACATGGGAAAATATGTGATAAATAAAATACTTGTGAGATTTCTTTACCATTCACTCATCTTCAACTCTGGAGAGAAAACAGATATAATAGGACAAACTTCATGAGCTCCATTTAGAACCCCAAGTTACCACAACTTATTCAGACTCCTATCTATAGGAAGAGAGTCTAGGACTTCAGGAAGAGAATTCAAAATTCTCTTTTGAAAAATTAAAAAAAAATTCAAAAGAAAATTCAAAATTTTTTTCTTCCTGTAATTGTACTTGCCAAAACACTAACAGTAGATTACTCTGGGAGATGGAATGGTTGGATATTATCTTTTTTTTTTTTTTTTTTTTTTTTTTTTTTTTTTTCCCCTTTTTTTCTTTTTCCCGATTTTTTTTTTTTTTTTTTTTTTTTTTTTTTTTGCTTATATATTTCTCACCTTTTTTCCTGTTTCCAGATTTTTTTTTTATAGTCTGGAAAAAATGCTTCCATATTATTGTCTGAATTCAACTATACAGAATAAAACCAGATGACATAGCTTAAGCTCTTCTTATAAGTTCAAAATAGTAATAGGTCATATACTGGCTAGAAATGATATTATTTTACCTCAAATAGTTATATCTTCCAAATTTCAATTAGGAAAGAATCCATAAAGACTCTAATTTATTAGGTTTAAATATACTGTAATATACTGTCTCACACATATCATAGAAAGAATTGGTCATCTGAAAGAACAGTCTATATTCTTTTTTTTTTTTTTTTTTTTTTCCGCGGTACGCGGGCCTCTCACTGTTGTGGCCCCTCCCGTTGCGGAGCACAGGCTCCGGACGCGCAGGCTCAGCGGCCATGGCTCACGGGCCCAGCCGCTCCGCGGCACGTGGGATCTTCCCGGACCGGGGCACGAACCCGTGTTCCCTGCATCGGCAGGCGGACTCTCAACCACTGCGCCACCAGGGAAGCCCTATATTCTTTATTCTTGTATCAAAGACTCATTAAAGGGACCAAGCTGGCAATTGTCATCAAGCATTGGCTACTTAGACTGTCAGACACACTAAAGCCAACTATGGCCAGCACTCTCCATTTTTGTCATCCTTCTCTCTTTGGGCTTTCTCCTATCGCCTCTATTATTACTTACTGTATTCGTCGTGTTTTCCTTTTATTTTCCGTGTATTTATACAAGGAAGGACTTAAGGACAGGAAGGTGGCAGTATTTACTTCTATCTATGTTGGATTATCTAATCTAAACTCTGATGATTATCATTAAAAGGTATTACAGTTATTAAGTAACTAATTTAATAATTCTGAACTGAGTAAATTAAATGCAAGCAGTTATGACAACTTAGATTGCTAAAATAACTGAAGAGGAGAGACAGAGCAAACAGCAAGAACAAAAATGTTGTAAACACACATGCTCAAACTAGGGGTGAATCAATGGCAATAGCTATAAGACATATAGTAATACCACCTAATATTTCAATTTTCAAAGCACTTTCAAATATATCACCCTAGGACACCAGCATCATGGAAGCATAAAATGTCCCTCCTTTTTCCACCCCCTTTTAACAACTAAAATTTGGCATCCATTCATGAACAAAAGTGCCTCTGTGGGAGCTGTGGGCCCCCCCCCCCCCCCCCCCCCCCCCGTGCATTGCTGCATAGGCAGACAGACTTCATATGGGGCTTTGGAAGCAGCAGGAGCCCATGAACTGGCTCCAGCTCTTCTCAGCCACAGTCTGGGAAAACGTGCATACTGATGATATGGGAAGACACCACAGAAGGGAGAGCTTTTGTAGAAGTCCAGGCTGAGGAGAGATTCCAGCACTCCTTTGGATCAAAAAGAGTTTGGAAGCATCAGAGAGGGTAAGAGGAGCTCTGCCAGCATCACCCTCCCATCTGGTGCTGATTAATAGCCAATATTGGGAGAGAACCCTTGAACTTCTTTTCTCTGGAGAAAGAAGATTGGATTCTCATTAATCCATATTGTTAAAAAGAAAAAGACACATTGCCCTGAGTGATACTGTAAGTTTCACTAATGTACGGTGTGTCAAATGTTACATAAATCTCTGTCACAGCTAAATTGTGTAAAAGAGCGTTTGTTAGTTCAGTGATATAATTAAATGAAAATCAGATGTATGTAAATGATGCTCCCCGAGATAAAGAAATGCTTTACGAAGCTGAGTTGAAACCTCTGATTGATATAAAACATGTTAAACTGGATTTTCCAGAGGAGGACGTGAAGTTGACTTT